ACAACATCAACAAGGTTTGGCTATGCTGATAACTGGGCTTTATTAACCCAAACAAAGTCACTAGAAGAAACTGAAGAGATTCTTACGGAAGACCAAGAGGTTATGGGAAATTACTTTCAAAAATAGAGACTTCGTCCCAATGCCTCCAAGACCGAAGTAACCTGCTTCCACCTAAACCACTTTCACGACTCAACTACAATAAACGTCCAAAATATGTAGGCGTGGCCTCGGTTAGAACGTTAAGCTTTAGACAACATTTAAGAATAGTTGCCGAGAAACTAAAAACCAGAAATAACATCATTCAGAAGATCTGCGACACAACATGGAGGGCATCAGCATCCACATTCAGGTCTTCAGGCTTAGCTGTTGTTTATTCCGTAGCTGAATACTGCGCGCCAATATAGATCAACAGAAATATAGATGTCCAACTAAATAACATCATGAGAATGATCGCTGGAATAATCAAATGTACACCAACACATTAACTACCAGTGCTGAGCGACATTCCATTACCACATCTTCGCCGACTCAATCTGCTTACCAAAGAATATTACAAAATCTTAAGCAACACGGCCCTGCCAATTCATAAATATATAGAAGATGCAACCAAAAGTCGCCTGCGCTCCAGAAAATCTCGAAACTGCAAAATCAGCTGCAGCCACAGGGTTGAACATGATCACCAAATGGATCCATGAATAGTCGACAGCTCAACCAAATACAGCCTTACCTTGCAACACAGAGACACCTCCTGGATTTGACCTACCACGTAAAATCTGGTGCACATTTAACCGCATCATGACTCAACATGGTCGATGTGCAGATATGTTGCACAAATATGCCAAGCTACCATCACCGTCATGAAGCTGCGGCGAGGTCCAATCTATCAAGCACATAACGGAGGAGTGCCACCAGCGAGCCTAGGAGGGCAGTTCACAAGACTTCCTGTTTGCGACGATCGAGTCGATCAACTATATAAACAACCTCGACGTTTGCCTAAAAACTGGGCATGATTTAAATATTTTTAAATCGAGTCAATTTTAACGTTTATTGTAATGTTTACTGTAGTATTATAGATGTGTCTAAATGCCATAAACTAAATAAATAAATAAATAGCAGAGACTGACGCAGAGGATGGTACTGATGATCAAATCATCATCAGTCATCAATCATCGTCATGTCCTTATCATTCACCATACATATTTTGCCTCCTATATAGAAAACCGCATCTGTAACACCGATTTTTAAAAAAGGGAACAAATTGGATCCTAATAACTATCGTCCTATCAGCTTAACACCTATAGTATCTAAGATAATGGAATCTATTATTACCGAGATAATTTCTGATTTTCTGCAAAATGAACTGGTTATGCCAGAACAGCAGCATGGTTTTGTAAAAGGACGTTCTACAATGACAAATCTTCTCTGGTGTGTCAATGAATGGTCAAGAGCATTAGACAGAAAAGCCACGGTAGACCTTATTTACCTCGATTTTGGGTTTTGGGCTCACTTTTATTCATAGCATACTCAAGTGATCTACAATTTTACATTAAATGCAACAAAGTTATCTATGCAGATGACACGAAGATATTTTCCGATCCCTCCGTAAATTTCCAGTTACTACAAGATGATCTTGATTGTATATCGGAATGGTGCTCTACTTAGATGCTGCCTCTTAATGTGGACAAATGTATAGTTGTTCACATCATTTTGGGTTTACAACCCTGTGTGGATCCTAGCCTCCCCAAGAATTCTCTTCCAGTCGTCCCTATCCATCGCCTTCCTCCGCCAAGCACGTATTTCCATATTTCTCATATCTTGGTCTATGTTATCTAGGAATCTTGTTCTGGGTCTTCCTCTTCTTCTTTGACCAATAGGTCTATCAAGGAGCGTTTTTCTAGCTGGGTCGGTTTGCTCCATCCGCATTACATGGCCTACCCACCTCAGACGTCCTATCTTAATGTGTTTTACGATATCTGGTTACTGGTATATTCTATAGAGTTCGAAGTTGTATCGTCTTCTCCAGACACCATTTTCATTTACCGCTCCATAGATTCGCCTCAGTATTTTTCTTTCGAAACATCCTAACATGTTTTCATTGCTTTTTGTTAAAGTCCAGGTTTCTGAACCATATGTTAGGACTGGGCGTATTATTGTTTTGTAGAGTTTTACTTTTGTATTTTTTGATATAGCTGTAGATTTAAAAAGGAGATTAAGCCCAAAATAGCATCTATTAGCCGTGCAAATTCTGCGGTTTATCTCTGCGGTAATGTCATTTTCAGTATTGACGAGCGTTCCCAGGTATACAAATTCGTTAACTGCTTCGATGACGTCGTTTTCTATAACAAGTGGCCGTCGTATTTGTGGTTGCGGACCTATTTTCATGTATTTCGTTTTATTAATGTTTATTATTAAACCCATTTTTGTAGCCGCTTCCTTTAGTGCTACATACGCCTCTCGTGCTGCGTTTTCCGTTCTGCCAACAATATTGATATCATCAGCATATGCTAGGATTTGCACAGATTTGTTATATATTGAACCGGTAGTTGTGATTTGTGACGTACGTATTACTTTTTCCAGAGCTAGATTGAATAGTATACAGGAGAGTGGGTCTCCCTGACGTAGCCCGTTATTTGTATTAAAAGGTTCAGAGAGTTCCCCTGGATTCGTACTCTGCATTCAACTTTTTCAAGGGTTAGTTTGGTTAGACTTACCAACTGATTTGGTACTCCCAGGTCTATCATTGCTCTAAACAATTCTCTTCTATTTACAGAGTCGTAGGCTGCCTTGTAGTCTATAAATATGTGGTGCGTGTCTACACCGTATTCCAGGTTTTCTCTAGAATTTGTCTCAGGGTTGAAATCTGATGAATTGTTGATTTACCACCTCTGAAACCATCCTGGTATTGTCCTATTATTTGCTCTGCATACGGTGCCATACGATGGCATAGTATATTGGAGAATATTTTATACGCTGCATTTAGGAGCGTAATTCCTCGATAGTTGGAGCATTCAAAAAAATCTCCCTATTTGTGTATGATGCAAAGTATTCCAATATTCCAATCATTGGGGAGGGACTTCTGTATCCATATTTTTTTTATAAGCTGCTGTAGCGCTATTATGATATCGTGGCCACCTTCTTTATATAATTCCGCTGGAAAATTATCTATTCCGGGTGATTTGTTTCTGGCTAGTTTGTTTACAGCGTCTTTAACTTCCAGGATCGTTGGTGGATTCTCCTCCCTCTCGTCTGCTCCGCTTATCTCACAGCTTTCGTCTTCTGAGCTTTCTTCTTCTTCCTCTGTATTAAGTATCTGGTTAAAATATTCCGTACATCGATTTAGTACGTCTGTTCTTGTTGTTAATAGATCGCCATTCAAGCTTCTACATTGATTTGTGTTTACCTTGAAATCTATTCTGTTGATGTTAACTTTCTTATAGAATGTTCTGAATTCTTTCTCTCTATTGAGGTTTTCTATATATTGAAGTTCCTTTTTTAAGTAGTTTCGTTTCTTCATTCTGTGTATTTTCTTTCCTTCTCTTTCTTTGTCTAGTAATTCTCTACACTTGTTCTAGTCCGGCGGATAAGCATTTTTGCATAAGCTTCATTTTTTTTTATGTGTTGCGTCTTTGCATTCATCTGTAGTTCTTCACATGGGTAAAAATAATCTGTGTCTTCCGTACTCTATTATTGGGCGCGTGTTAAAAACAGTGAAATCACATAATGATCTAGGTGTTATAATTTATAACAATCTAAGTTGGTCGGAACATATTTTGCATATTTCTAAAAAAGCTAACAGTAAATTATATCTACTAAATAAAATGTTTGAGAAAGTGTCATTTATGAGCTCAGTTCATCTGTATAAACTGTACATTCTTCCAGTTCTGGAATATTGCGAAACTGGTGTCCGGTATTAGTGCGCGATCGTAATATTGTCGAAAACGTACAGCGGCAGTGCACTAGGATGTCTTTTGGTGGATCAAGACCTACGTATACAGAAAGACTGAATATGGCCAATCTCACTACATTTGAACAACGTCGACTTCGAGGCGATTTAATTATTACGTTTCGGATAGTAAAATACAACTTTGGAAATGTGGGGGATATGTTTATATTAGACAATGACAATCGTTTTCGTGGCCACAAACTTAAGTTTAAAAAGGAAACTTTTTTAACAACAACTAGACAATTTTTTTTTGTAATCGAGTGTTCTCGATATGGAATAGTCATCCGGCTGAGATCATAGATGCTCCATCTGTCAATATTTTCAAAAATAAACTGGATGACCATTTGTTCCATAGTTGAAGATTTAATTTGTACTAAACACTTACTATTACCTATGTTTTTGTATATTTATTTAGTTAGTTAGTGCTTAATATGTAACTATTGTAATGTAACCATTTAATTACACACTATATAACATTGTAATCACATGGGCATATGGGTTTTGCGACCCCTGTTCAAATTTATTGTAAAATAAATAAATAAATAAATCCCCAAAACTTAATAAAAAATATTATGTATTATTATTATTACTAGTAAGGATTTAATATTACTTTCGCTTTTTTATCTAGCAATATAAATCTACTTAAATGTCAGATTTTTGTAACGTTATTTTATTATAATAAAAGATTGTTTCTAATTCTTTCTAAATTACTTTAAGTGCTACAATTTGTCGCCAAAATGGCGCATGTGTGTACTTACGTTATATATTTTAAAAAGACTTTAAAATTTTTGAACCTGTATAGTAAATTTAGTATCAATTAACCTCTAAAACTATTCAAAAACTTATATTGGTTTTTATTAAAATATATATCTCAAAAAACATCCTGGAACATTTTGTATGATTTAATATAAGTTTAACCAGGTTAAATTAAAAACATGTTTTTTCTACAAATCGTTTTTGGTGACTTACGTTACTTTGCCAAAAATGTACCGATATACATATAAATATATAGCCGATATGTAATAGTAGTAATTAAATTATTCATATAAAAACTTACCCCTTATATTAATATATGCCGGTCTTGCTTTTTGCTTGCTACGTGTATTATATGCGGGACCACACGCTAGATTTTTCTTCTGATCATCATCTTTCTACAAACCAATAGTAAATAGCAAGAATTCGAAATATAAATCTGTTGATTTTCTGTTAAATAAGTAATTTTTTATGTGGTACGGGTTAAACTACTATGCCAATTAAGTTAGGTTTTTCCTCTGCATCACTGTATAGACAAGTTTGGAAGTTGACATGTGCAGTCTTAGTATGGTAAAATTGATCCAAAAAAGACCTAACCACGACATCCACGATAAAAATTTTCCTCTAACACCAAATTGTTCGATAATATAGTCCATATATTATTCGGTAAAAAGTTATACCATTTTGAGCGTCGGGTTTGGGGGAGAGATGGGGGCAGGAAGTTTTCAGGAGAAGTCAATCTAAAGTTTTTTAGCTTACTTAGTGTACACGCACCTACGGAAGAAAAGGAGGATCATGAAAAAGATGAATTATATGACACCTTAGACAAAGAATATGATCGATGTCCACGTCATGACGTGAAAATCATTGCTGGGGACCTTAATGCAAAAATTGGCAAAGAGCAATTTTTCCAGCCAACTATAGGACGTGAGAGCGTACATGAAGAGTCAAATGATAACGGGTTCAGACTAATAAACTTTGCAAGTACTAAAACATGATAGTAGGAGGAACAAAATTTCCCCATAAAATGATACACAAAGGAACATGGAAATCCCCTGATAACGAAACCATTAACCAGATAGATCACATCCTGATAGATGCAAGGCACTCTTCCGATCTCATAGACGTCAGAAGCTACCGAGGCCCAAACATTGACAGTGACCACTTTCTTGTAATGGCAAAAATCAGAGAAAGAATATCAAACCTAAAGAAAGATAAACACACGAAACAAGACAGAATTAATGTTGATAATCTGTGCATTGAAACCGTTGCGAGAGAGTATAGGAGACAAATGGACGAGGAAATGGAGAGCCTGAAGGTGGGGGAAAATGTGGATGAACTGTGGACAAAATGTAAAAACATAATAACTGGGAAAGCAAAAAAAATATTGGGGAAAACCAAACAAGTTAAAGAAAACAAATGGTTTGACAAGGAGTGCCAAGAAGCAACAGATAACAAAAACAGGGCATACCTAAAGATAAATCAAGCTGGATGCACAAGAAGAGCAAAGGAAGAATACCGGACCCTAAGAAGAAAAGAAAAACGATTACATAGAAGAAAAAAAGACAATTTGAGCAAAAGCAGTTGGAAAACACAGAATGGCTAAGAAATCAAAATGAAACTCGAAAGTTCTACAGAAATCTAAACATAATGCGCGAAGAGTTTAAGCCAAGAATAAGGAGCTGTAAGGATGTAGAAGGAAACATCCTAAATGATACGGCCTCAATCCTAAACAGATGGGTTGAATTTTTCGATGCAAAATATAATGGCCACCATATCGAAGAAGCAGATATCATCCTAGCAAATCGAAATAATTGGAATCCTTTCAACCCAAACGAAAGACCACCTACCATCGAAGACGTTGCTCAAGCTATTAAAAAGCTTAAAAATAATAAATCACCAGGAGTTAATCAAATTTGCAGTGCGTTCTACAAGAATGGTGGCGATGCCCTACTACAGACACTGCATAAGCTTTTACTTCTTGTTTGGCATAATGAGACCATGCCTTGTGAATGGTCTCAAGGCGTGATATGTCCGTTACATAAAAAAGGTGATCAGCTCCAGTGTGACAACTATAGAGGTATAACCCTGTTAACAACTGCTTACAAAATACTAGCAAATATTCTCTACGAAAGGCTGCAAGTTTACACAGTGGGCATAGTTGGTAAATATCAAGGTAGATTCACTCCAGAAAAATCAACAATTGACCAGATTCATTCAATAAGACAGATTCTCGAGAAAACATTAGAATTCAATATTGAAACCCATCACCTATTCGTCGACTTCAAGGCCGCTTACGACAGTGTCAAGAGAACAGTGCTATACCAATCAATGCATGAGTTTGGTATACCAGAGAAATTTATCCGACTAACGAGAATGACAATGTCTAACTTAGAAGCCACTGTTAGAATACAGGAAGAGAGTTCTAGATCCTTTGAGATAAAGGATGGACTCAGACAAGGGGATGCTCTGGCTTGCCTCCTATTTAATATTGCCTTAGAAAAGGCAGTCTGAGATACACGAATTAGGGATGGCGGTACTATTTACAATAGATCGATACAAGTCTTAGCATATGCTGATGACATTGACATAGTAGGGCGTAGCAAGCGAGATGTTGAGCAATATCTCCTAGAATTGGAAACAGCTGCGAAACAGGTCGGTCTAGTCATCAACGAAGACAAAACCAAGTACATGTTGGTTACAAAGGATCCGATAGCAAATCAAGAACGAGAAACAGTCTTTGGAAGTCATACCTTTGGACGTGTTGACAACTTCACATACCTTGGGTCGCTATTGACTGCTACCAATAAAACAAGCGAAGAAGTCAAAAGACGAATAAATCTTACAAATAGGGCATACTATGAAGTCCAAAAGCATTTCCACTCAAGAAACATTCAAAGAAGAACTAAAATTATTATGTACAAAACATTGCTGAGGCCGGTCCTCACATATGGAGCAGAAACATGGACTCTAACGCAGAAAGACAAAAGACTTTTGGGAATATTTGAGCGTAAAATACTCCGCAAAATATTTGGAGCTGTAAACGACCAAGGGCAGTGGCGCAGAAGATATAATTTTGAATTGTATCAGCTCTTTGATGAGCCAGATGTCATAACGTTCATTAAAACACAGCGACTTAGATGGGCTGGACACATAATACGAATGTCAGAAAATACGATTGCTAAAAAGCTAACCACAGGAACACCTGTAGGAAAAAGAAGCAAAGGCCGACCGCGAATTAGATGGTTAGATGGAGTTGAAACCGACTTACAAATATTAAAAATCAGAAGATGGCAACATGTTGCCAAAAACCGAACAGAATGGCGACGAATCTTAGAGCAGGCCAAGATCCACAGAGGATTGTCGAGCCAAAGATGATGATGAAGTAATTTTTTATGTGGTACGGGTTAAACTACTATGCCAATTAAGTTAGGTTTTTCCTCTGCATCACTGTATAGACGGGATTGGGAGTTGACATGTGCAGTCTTAGTATGGTAAAATTGATCCAAAAAAGACCTAACCACGACATCCACGATAAAAATTTTCCTCTAACACCAAATTAAAAATTATACCATTTTGAGCGTCGGGTTTGGGGGAGAGATGGGGGTAGGAAGTTTTCAGGAGAAGTCAATCTAAAGTTTCGAATTCTTTAAAAAGGTTGATGCACAATGTGCACAACAGCAATTGATGACCATTTTTTGGTTCATAATTCTACACGAAATCGCTCATTGACATCGATGTACCTCAGAAATGAGCTACTAAATGTTATTGTGAGTTCAAGAATAGTTAGACGAAAATTAAAAGAGGAAAACTTAAAGCTTAGACGCCCTGCCAAAGTTTCACGTCTTCTCCAAAATCATAAAGCTCGTTGTTTAGAATTTGCAAAAACACATATAACCATAACTGGAAAAATGATATTGTCACTGTTGAGACAATAATCCTATTATGGAAGCCAGATTGTCGAAACCACCAACTCTACAGAAGAGTTAGAAAACGATTCGCCATCTGCAATCTCGCTCAAACCGTTAGTTTTGGAGGTGGTGGCATAAGGCTTTGAGGAAGTATTAGTTGGGAGAGACGTAACCGCACTTGTAGAAGTGATTGTACGAATAACTGGTAACTCTTACGTTCAAAACATTATGCAAGATCATGTTTTGCCATATGAGGGTAACATTGGATATGACAGATTTATGATATTGCACGATAATGTTCGACCACATCGCTGCAATAGTGAGTAATAATTGTCTTGATGAGGTCAAAATATTAGAAAATTGAATTGGCCACTAGTAGACTTCGGCAAATATGCAAATAAAAATGTAGAAAATATGCGCATAAATATGCACGTGTTTACCCGAAAATATGCAAATATTTTACAAAATATGCATACAAATAAATAAAAAAATCGTAAAATAGTAACAATTTTATTTAAAAAAAAAGTGTACATAACTAAATATTTCCTACTATTCATTAAGATTTACATTTATTTTAAGTAACTACATCATTTTTAAGTATGAATAAACTTATTTAGAATTATGGTAACAATAAATGACCAAGTGGTGTTCAAAATTTTCTAACAAAAACTTGTGGCTTCAGTCTGAGTACATATATATTATATATGGAAAAACTTCGTTCAACACCAACTGATATAACGGTAGCATTTTTCAAACTAACCAAAACATTTGGTTCTTGTTTAGAATCCAAAAGAGATTGGGAACTTTCATCTGTTAACGTATCAATTATGTTCTTTATTTTAACAAAATGATATGCATAAAAATTAGCTGCTTCTAACCATGTTCCCCATCGCGTTAAAATAGGTTGTGGTGGAAGAGGAATGTTAGGTAGCATTTCTTTATAAAGTTGAATTCTTATAGGAGATTTAAGAAATACTTTTTTGACACTGGATATCATGGTATTTACAAGAGGAAACTTTTTTCGTATTTCCTCTGCAACTCTGTTTAATCCATGCGCTACACAAGTAACATGTATTAAATCTGAGGAAAAATATTTTTAAATTTTGTCCTGCTTTCACCATATAAGGAGCAGCATCCGATAAAATAAGCAGTAATTTATTAGAAGGAATAGTTGTCAGAAGAAAAAAAGTTGCTAATGTTTCTTGTATAAAACGCGAAATTGTTAAAGCATTTGTTTTCTCAAGTTGCTGGCATGAAATAAGATGAGATTTTGGTAAGGTATCTTCTTTAAGAACACCAATCAATAAATGAGCAATATACTTTCCTGAGGAATCAGTGGTTTCGTCTACAGATATGTAAAAATAATTATCTGCAATTTCTTTCTTAATATTAATTAACACCGACGAGTATAGCCCGTTCACATTATTTCTTCTTAGAGACCGATCACTTGGAACATTAAGTTTGCAATATTTTTTTAGAAACGAACT